CCACACAGCTGGTCATCTTTCTTTTTTGTTGTGTCTAAAAGCAGCCATATGTCATCAGCAACCCTCTCATGTATATTGAACTTTCTTAGCACATCAGCTTGTCTCTTTGAATGTGTTACCTGATGTCTTTAAAGTGGCAAAACACAGAAAAGTGGGTCCTCCTAGTCCTTTGTTCATCAGACCAGCAAGAGTCAGGAATATGGTAGAGATGGGATGTTTAGGTCCTTGAGCCATATCTATTCTAGCTTTGCTTTTTAATTTCTCCTTGCTTCGGCTTGCCTAGCAGAATATGTCTCAAATCAGCTCTACCCTATCCAGTAGTAAGTATGGCTATCCTTTATCAATAGGGAAGCCCAGGGGCTTGGTGTTAGATCATCCAGGGCAACACAGATTCTCCAGCTCAGTCTGTCTGTCCAGGTACTTTATTTGGTGCTCACCATTTTTAATATGGGTGGTCTTCTCCAGGAATTAAGAGACATAACAACAGGCTTTCTGCTCAAAATGTTAGCATCAGTGCTTGAGAACCATTACAATGTGTCTGGCAGGGTGTATGTGTATAACAGAGAAGGATATTTATTCTAGGAGAGCTAGATTGAACAGGTAAGCTTTAATGAAAGTTTGAAAAGCTTTTGATTCAGGAGATATCCTTAATCTTTTCTAAATGCATGTTTAGTAATCTTGGTTCTGTGGTTCTGTATGTGAAGGTCCCTCTTCTCCTTCACTGTTTAGGGTGGCATTATGTAGTTAAAAGGTCAAAAAGGTTGTGATGTAATGAGATGGGTGATATCTTAGGTATCTAGGTTCACAATTTAAATGGAGGCCCTACCAATGCATAGTCTGTCAGGGGAATATGCTCATTGCACTTTCTGTTGCTGTTGATTTTTGAAGCTTCTGGAAAGTAAGTGGCTTCTCTTCTTAAATGAGTTGCAGTCATCACGTAGAATCAGAAATGCTTACATTCTGGAGCTCAGTCCTGTGTCTGAAGCATGGCCTTATCATCTGTAGATAGAGAACTAGGTGTTTTGCGGCACTGGTATTTGACCATCCAGTAGCTCTGAAGAGTTCATGAGATACCCATGGTTACCTTGGCAATAAAGTGATGAGATATGCTCAGTAGAATGGGAATTTTTAGAGGTGGTGGTATTTTCAAATCTCTTTCCTTTTTTTGCGAGTGTTAACTCATTTGTTACTGAGATTCATGTTTAAACAGACAATTAAGGAATGCTTTTAATAGGCTGAGAAAAGTTAAAGGATGTCAGTGTATTCTTTAATCCTGCCATTTATAACAATCCATTTCATTTTGTACTCATTATGCTTTTTAAGGGTGAATAATTTAGATTCTTTCACCTCCTGATCAGAGACTCCCTTCTGTGTTCCCTCCTCTGAATTCAGCTTTCTAAATAAGAAAATAAACTAATCTTATATGAAATTTTATAACATGTACCTCAGTCTGAGTAAAATTATTACCTACATACACATAAACTCCAAAGCCTAAAACCAAAGCCAGCAATGCTGGGCATAGATGGTACTTAAACACGACTGTTATAATTTCATTTTTTGGAATACTTATACAGAAAAAATACCTTAAAATAAAACAAGACAGCACTGAAGAACCATCATTAAACAGCTTTAAATCTTACCTTCACATTTGGGATGCGTTTGGCAGGGTTTTGTTCATGAAATCACAATCCTCAGATGTTCAAAGAAAAATAAGTTCTCTGGTACCCTTATCTAGTACATGCCTGTGTATTTAAGGCTGTAATGACACTAGCCTGCAAGAGATTGGGCAAGCAGGTAAAGCTGTGGCCTGTACCTTTAATTCATCTCAGCTAGTTCCATGCTGATGAAGTGATCTATCATCATTGCTACCATACTAGAGCATGTATTCCTACAAGAAAGTTTAGCCACTGCAGGGGTGACTGGACTAACATCGCCTGGCATCCAGCAGTGTACAGACTAAACTATAGTTTTTAGTTAGAGAATATGGAAACTGACAACAAATTATTACTTGTGGTCTTTTTCCAGATTTCAAGTGCAAACATACCAAAGTTTATTTTAAATCTGAGCCAGTCAGACATTTAGTAATATAGATCAAAGAAGAAACAAAGGCCTCCCATGCTTATTATTTCAATATGATGTCTGTTCTAATAAAGTGTAAGAATGCCTGTGATAGACTAACTAGTAGGAATTTTCTGGTTCTGTAGTTTAGCCTTAAATATATACATATATTTGTAAATTAATCAGAAACATATTGTCATGGTTTCAGTTCCTTGGAAAGCTGATTGTTTTCAATCCTTTCTTTAATCTTAGAAATATGGTGGCAGTCTGCCAGCACACTTTCAGATAAACAGTCCACTTCACATTTAAAAGCCGTAGAATCACTGATGTTGAAGGGGGGAAAAAATCAACAGAAAACACCACCAGTTCTCTCTCTCTCTTCCCCAAAATGTAGAACATTATTTAAATAAGTTAGAGTTGTTGTGCTATTGTCCCTCACTCT